AAACCAGCTTTGACCCTCTCCGAGAGTTCCAACCACTTTCGGGTTTGTTCGTCCAAGCGCATCTTTTTGGCCTTCTTCTGGAGATCTTCAGCACACGCGAGTGCGTAACTATACTCACGCTGTAGTTTCCGTCGCCACTCATAGGCGCTACGCTCAGGAACACTCGAAGGCTTCGGTCCTAGCATTGCCGAGACTGTACTTCGGGCATCCCAACCATGGACCAAATAGAAAGGAGTGTCCAGTCTAGCCGCGTCGAATGAGACATTCAGGGCAAACATCAGTCGCTCAGCATGGTCATCCCAGTCGGATTGATCCATCTCAGCGACATATGCTAACACTCCGAATGACTGTCTGCAAGGGTCTTTCCTGTTGCCCATTCGCTTGCGGACGATATCCTGGTGTAGCACGTTGTCGGCTACCTAAGAGTTCTCGGAACCTTGTGAACACTTCGCTCATGAACCGTGGGTCTTGGTCGTGGCGTATCATGGAAGACGCCCCGAATATCTGGAACACCTGCTCTTCATAGACTTCAGCGACTTCTTGAGTGGTAGTGGATGACATTGGCTTACACATCACGTATCCTGAAAACATGTCCTGAAACAACAAGAGGAACGTGTTTCCTCTGGCTGACTCGGGCATATGGGTCACGAAATCCATAGAAACGGCTTCGAAGGGATATCGTGGTGTTTCCTGGCGAAGGTCCAGCATTCGGGGGCGCCCCTTTTCCGCTGGCGCAATTCACACATTCTTTCACAAAATGTTGGACGTCTGCATACACGCCGGGCCAGTAGAATTCGGTACGCAACTTTTCATGCGTCCGAGTGATCCCTTGGTGTCCACCCTGGAAATCTTCATGCGCGTGATGCAACATATCTTCCCGGAGTGAACTTGGGACTACCAACCTCAGATTATCCACGGCGTCTCGTGGTCTTCCACAAAACGAGTGTGGAAGTCTGTACATCACCCCTCGGTCATCCAGAACGAACAGATCTGCAACCTTACTGATCTTCTTCAAGCGCGTGGATGAGAACCTATCCAGGTCGTCATTCAGGAACGCCCTTATCTCCGCTAGACACTCGTCTTCCTCTTGATGAAACTTAATCCTTCCCCAGCGTTCAGCCTGAAACTCTAGCG